CATATAGTATATCCATAATATTAAGGATCAGATATTGTTTTTTAGCCACTTATCAAACTAGCTTCTCAGTTTTATGTCATTTTAAATTAGATCGATTTTGGTCTTTGGTCTCTGGGAAATGGTGTCTCATTGTAAAACAGTTTATTGTACATATTATAACTTACCAAGTCAGTGGTGGGTTTTCTGTGGAATTATAAACCTTACAAATGAAGGTTTTTCGTCACATCAATGCTATTTCAATCAAATATTATCACCAATGTTGTCCAAAGTTGCCAGCCAACTGTAAGCCAACAGTTGACTTTCATTTACTTATCCAGAAACATTATCAATTGATGAATATAAGTCAAATATTCACTTGATCTGTTTTTGGTCTCCACCAACTTATGAAGAAATATCTGGCTCGTTAGCTGCTAAATGCAGCATTAACCTAACCAGTTGTATCTGTCTGGTTCAGGGCAGGCAGGGTACAATGCGTTTTAGTGCTTTTTCACAAAAAAAAACGTACAATAGCAGAAAAGGGGGAAAAACAAAACATGAGTTAAAAGGTGCTAAAACGCTGGGCATAGCTGAGGGGAACTGAAGAGTCAAGTTATGATTCTTCTGGTTCATCACAAAAAGCTTCCTTTTGCATATCAGTTATAACAGTCATTTGATTTATTATTAATAAATAGTCAAGTGCAGCAATACGGAATAGCAATGTAATGTCACATTGCCCAACTAGTAATTATTCAACTTTTAAAATCGTATTATCTCATCCTATAATTAAACTAATTGATGCCCCAGTACAACCCATTGTTGACTTTATTTCGTTAAAATGCCTGAGGGAGGTTCATTCAAAAATACTACATGTGTATTAGTGTTTGCTTTATCCTGAATTACCGGCTGAAGGGTTGGGTTTATGTAGTTAAATCGTTTGTGACTGATCAAACAGAGACAGATGAGCTTACAATCTCAGAAATCTGAGACCGTAGAGCTTTCTCACGGCAGACATGGTGACTTGTCAGAGCAGGAACAGCACAGGTGTGACTTATAACATTAACGATGGGGCCATTGAGCCAGAACGTACTATGCTGGAACCAGAACAACTGAAACAGGTTTCAATTGAGGTGGCCAGTAAAATAACAGTTTATATTGAATTTTGGCTCACTGGTTCGGCTTTTCAAGACACAAACATGGAAAGAAACCATCATTAGGGAAACTAGCACTCCCTGTGCTTCTTCTTCTATAAGTTTCAGTTCTTTAGATGGTGTAAACCACCATGTTGAGATGCTAATGAGAAGCCACCCTGTCTCTATAGTTGTAATTTATGTTAGTAAGTATTCTTTAAAGTTTGACAGCAGCACTCTTCTAGTTTTTTACCACAAAATACTTCAATTTTCTCCTGTAGATTTAGCCAGTTCCTCTTACAATTAAATGTTAAATAATACAAATAAATAGGTACCAGCCGTTTCTAATTAATCGAACACTCCCTTGTACGCTTGTACTTTACTTTTGAGCAGTTCTGTTATGAGCTACAGTATTTGACTAGCTCCCAACCAAAACAAGGCAGCAGTGCAACCGTAGGACTGTCTGTTGCTAGGATACATAGTTATACTGTAGTAGAACGGTTTTCATAGAAATATCTGCATAGCTAAAATCAGTATCAGATATTTGTCACATAGATTTATTTCATATTACATTTCTGAAATCAATTACACTTCAACAGCCTGTAAATGCAGTAGAAAATATCCCATTCTGCCAAAAATTTAAATTGAACTCTGGCAAGGCCTAATACAACTCCTAATACACCTATCTGTGGAGTAGTAGTTATTGATTTGGATAGAAAATACAAGCTTGAAGGCCCCACACCGGCCTGTTGCCCAGACACGAGTGATGTGAGAACAGTTCAGTTATTGGCTGGCATGCCACCGCGGGATCCCGAGCTCTAAATCAATGATGGTGTTGTCCATTTGCTCCACTCTGTGCCAAATCACTCTGAGTCTATCTTTCAGCTGAAATCCCCGCTGAGATGCACTTTTATGCAAGAGGTTGCATTTGGGGATTAGCACATCATTTTCAAGGGTAGACATCAAGAATGCAACGGCATTTATAGGTCACGAATCCCATGCTGTCATGTTTTATACATGCAACAAAAGGTTGATACAGCGCTTATGCTTATATGTGCTATATACTCTTTCTTCGACTATATTTAGCTATATCAAGCTCAAAGTGATGATTTCAAATACAAATATATTGTACTTTGTGTAGCACACCACAGTCAGGGCGGCTGTGGCTCAGTGGATAGAGTTGGACTTCGAATCAGGGGGTAGCAAGTTCGAGTCCCACTGCAGTCAGCATGTCGTTGTGTCCCTGAGACACTTCACCCCAAATTGCTCCTGTGGGGATTGCCCACAGTACTGAATGTATGTCGCTTTGGATAAAAAAATGACATGTAATGTTATGTAATGTAATTTTGAATCCCCTGTTGCTGTGCTGCATTTCAATCAGTCCTTGATGTTTTTCAGGGACACACAAGTATTCAATCAAAAGATTACTGTAATTTCACATTCAGGATAATGTTTTTCTCAACCAGCAGATAGTCAGTGTTTTAGAGATAACTGCTGAATGCAATATGATCTACCAGATGATTCCCAAGTTGTGCTGATCTTAATTCCTCTCCTATGAGTTTGTGTCTTTGCTGCTTTGTCTACATGAGCTGTATGCAGTGTGCGTGATATAACATGGCCACAGCCGTCCTCTAAATCACCACTTTCAGCTTCTGCCTCAGGGCTAAGGTACAAAATCGCCCGTGTGATGGAAAAACATCCAAATATCTCGATCAGTAAGAACTGCCAGTTAAAACATTTAAAGCTGGCTTGATACAACACTTTAAATATATGTATTACACCTTGATCTCACCATATACCTGTGACTCCTTTAAATGTGACTTATGTTGTGTATGGCTTTCATATGTAATTGATTTGATATTATGTGTTTCAGTAGTTTTTTTTGCATACAGATTTACTGTGTAGACGATAAGTATTTATATTCTATTGTTATAGTTCCTATGCGGAGTTTGTGTCTCATACTCAGCAATGCACGGACATGTATGTGTGTGTGCGGCTTCCTGTGTGTGTCCGTTGCATAAGAGGATCTGCTGCTGTCCCAGAGCTTAACGAAGGATTTAAACCTCTCTTTCTCACTCTCTCTTGCACTCTCTCCTCCTGTGTCGTATGTCTCTCCAGCGCTCTCTGTTGCACTCTATCTAATCTCTGTACTTGTGTATTGAAGGGAGGGTGATGTCATTGTTTGTTGAATAAGTCTTGTGCGTATACAGATTGAATGTTTGCTTATCTCGAAATGTCTGAGCAGGAACATTTATTTATTTTCGATGGCACCTGCTCAAACACACAGAACTCATTCCAACGGGTAATTTATTATGTTTGCTAAACTTTAATAATTGACACACATAAATATGGTGACTTCATTTGCTTTCATTAATTGGTCATTAATGCCATGTTTAATGAGGAATATTGGATTATAACGCAGGTATTCCCTCCTTAGTCATCCTCCAACAACTAGTCTTTGTTGTTGTTGGCTACTCTGAACACCCCCATGAGTATAACACACAAAAAATCAATTCTTACCATTTTACAGTCGGCTGACAGAGAGGACTGGGCTCGCTGGTGATCTAAAAAAAAAGCAGCAAATGTGTTGGCTGCAAACTCGTCTCAGCACAATGACATTTTGTCTAAAAAGCTGCTTTGACTGTTGGGAATATGATATTTTTATATTTATTTACTATTTTTCATTGTATTTTACAACCCTTAACTTGTTTTATTGCTGCTGTTTAATATGTTCACCATATCCACAATGATAACAGCAGAAAGTTAATGTTACACTTGATTAATCTGTAAGAAAATGACTGCAACATACACTAAATCAGCTGTGGCTTTATCAGTTTAATTGACATACTCATATTCCACTTTCTAAAGATAAGACCTCATACTTTAAATAATACTTATTGAATTCTAAATGATTTGTTTTGTTGTCTGCTTTCAATATTTAAAAGGTGGGTTTGAACAAAGGGCCAATGTTAGCTCTGTATTCTTTCAACCATCAGACCCGGCCTCTATCCTACTGTAGGTCCCTCTCTATAGATGAGTGTCTGTGGCTTCAATCAAAATATGATTTAATTGAACAGACAGCATTCTTATTAAAAGATACACCAAGCATGTTACACTAGAGATTCACCATTTATTTAGAAGTTTCTGGCCGGTTCTGATTCAGAAAAGGTCAATTCAATTGTATGCTTCCAAAGCATTGACTATTACATAACTTACATTTTCTCTCTACATGTATATCAAAAACACAATTGCCCCAGGTAAATCACATCAAGAGTAAAATGATTCATTAAATCTATATAACAACACACTTTGTGTCTATTCCTCCACAGCTTATTTTGGACTTGCAGGGGGTAAAAATGGACATGTGTGTCAATTTGACCGGAGAGACATCTGATAAATGTTGGTTCGCTTGCCATCTATCATTGGTGCCCCTGTAAGCCGCCTAACATTGCTTCTTTCTGCTTCCTGAAGCAAGACAAACCCTTCATCAGCAAAATAAAACAAGTTGAACCGCTTCAGCAGCAAGTCATATTGTTAAGTCTTCCAGCTCCACCTACCTAACGTTTCGCATCGAGATCAGATCAAAAGGGCAGGTTCCAGTCAAGAATGCTTGAAAACACCAGGTGTAAAGCCCTCTTATAAGAAGTCATTTATCTAAAAATATCAGTTGCAAATATCAGATACATTTAATGGGCTTTACAGTGATGATGTTAAGGATAGAAATGAAAATAGTAATGAAGTTTCTGACAGTGAGTGGTGGGGATGAGTGTAATGGTATTGAAGATAATGACCTCTTGTGTTTGTTTGTGCTGGAGGAAAGCCCCCTGCTGCACTCTCTGTTCAGCTGGGTTACTTCTCACTGATTTACATTGTGTTTCTCTCTGTCTGTTGCAGATTGATTTGGAGCCGGAGGGGAAGGTGTACGTGGTCATTGATCTGTCCGGATCCTCCACTGAAGGTAAAACCACCACAAGACCTTTTTTTCTTCCACTAATACTGAGAGAATCTCACTTTCAAACACATGCAGACACGGTGGTATGTGATAGTTCAGTTTTAAGCAAAGTAGATATGGAAAACGTCTGCCTATTTACACTCCCAGAGCACTGGGGAACATTAGCATTCATTTAAAGATGTGTTTCTTTGCACCTGACAGAAGTAAGTCTGATATTGGCTCCTTTTTTTGCGCTGGTTTGGTTGCTTTAACTCTTGGGGAAATAATCTGGCTCTTTATCTGCTACGGTTAGGCAAAACATTTAAGTTGTGAGCCATTAAAAAACCTGAAGTATGAGCGGAAAGCTGCTGAAAACACTTCATAGAGCTTTCAGTGAAAATGATCTTGGTTCGTCACTATAAGGAACTTCTTTGCCAATACACAAAGTAATTTGACCCATTGTTGATGGAAAGAGCGTTGCTTTACAGGTGACATTTTGGTGAGGATTAAAAAAACGAGCTTAAATATGACACCCACTTTTGTTTGTCTATCGGGTGCAAGCAGGTGGTAAGGTAGAATAAAAGAATATATGTATATTTTATATTATTAAATAACGTCATGCCTTGTATTACTCTGTATTTCCATAATATCCCCAAGGACTTATCAGATTGGGTCTTATACCATGAACTTAAAGCAGCTTTAATTTATATATTTATAATAATAACAACACATCAAATGACAAAGTAAGAACACTTTATAACAGTGGCTCATAGTATGATCCTACAGAGAAATATCTGAAGCTCCCGGCTCTATTGTGAGTTTTAGCTAATTGTTTAGTGGTTAGGCCGTCACCAGTCTCATAGTGTCATTCTTTGGCTACAGCAGGCTACTGTGTTTATATAAAGAGCTGTACAAATGTTCTTTATATTACTAAACTGCAGAAAAACACAGAAGGTGACAAGCTTGTGAACATATTGGAAACATTTTCAGCTAAAACCGTCAGATATTCCTCTCAAGCGTTGGTAGAGACCTCAGGCGGTGCTAAAAGTAAGACAGACTTATATTCATCAGGTGGACAAAACATGATAATGTCTCTCTGTTACTGCTGGATGTGTAAATGTGCAACTTAAAGGGTATAAATATGTTAATATTGTGTTCACTCCTTGTTTTCGCTGCCCCAAAACAAACAGTTTTTGCCGGTTTAGCATAATTTAGTGCGCGCACATCCTGCCAGTTTACTGCATTAAACCTAGAGGCCATAGAGAGCGATGGAAAGATAACTTCCTGTTTTCTCTGAAAGTTACTCAACAGAATTCAAATAACTTTCTCCTTCACTCTGTTCTTTTCCATTTCCTTGTCCTCTATTTGTTTGATTTTATTAACCATGAAAACATTTAGAATATATCCCTCTCACACCTTTTCTGCACACATACACTCTGCTGCCTGATAAGAGAGGTTTTCACCTGCAAAGGGGTACGTTCACACCTGGTTATAAATAGAAACTGTTCTTTGCCTTCCAGTGAAAGTGTGCATGTATATTCAGAATGTATATATATATGTGTGTGTGTGTGTGTGTGTGTGTGTGTGTGTGTGTGTGTGTGTGTGTGTGTGTGTGTGTGTGTGTGTGTGTGTGTGTGTGTGTGTGTGTGTGTGTGTGTGTGTGTGTGTGTGTGTGTGTGTGTGTGTGGTGTAGTGTGTGTGTGTGTGTGTGTGTGTGTGTGTGTGTGTGTGTGTGTGTGTGTGTGTGTGTGTGTGTGTGTGTGTGTGTGTGTGTGTGTGTGTGTGTGTGTGTGTGTGTGTGTGTGTGTGTGTCTGAGGTTGCAGCAGTGTAACGCAGTAGAGGGCAGAGAGAGAGGGAGTAGATTCTTAAAATAGAGAGTGAGATTGAGCCATGGATTACACACACACACACACACACACACACACACACACACACACACACACACACACACACACACACACACACACACACACACACACACACACACACACACACACCATGTGCAGACTCAAGCGTCAGTGTCTTGCCCTCCTCATCGATGATTGGGTACTCTGTGATGACCTCACGACCCATTCCCCGCCCACTCCTGAACTTCCTCCCTGAGTTCAGCTGGCATGAGTGCTCATGATGTTAATGCATGCTGATAAAAACAATGTGTGTGTGTGTGTATATATAGGAGGGATGGTGTGTGTGTGTGCTGATAGGAGGGATGGAGAGTTTGAGGGTGAGAACTAGAGGATGAGGTGGTATTTTTAGCAGATTTCTTTTTCCTTTTTTTCCCTGGGTGCAATCTGTTCTCTCTGCAGCTTCAGAGGCTGGAAGGAGTCGTTCCTCTCCTCTTTCCTCCTCTCCTCTCCTTGTACATCTGTTGGTCTCAGGAAGCAAATCAAAACAGTAATCTGACCTAATCTCACCATCTGCGATTTCTCCCTCTTTCTCTTCATCCTTTTCGCTTCCCTTTTAAATATTTTATTCACATCCCCCCAAGATTAAAAGATAACCTTCATGACTGAAGACTTTTAATGACAAGACTAATGTTTAATTCATTTTATTTTTACGACAAAACTATACTTTTTAAAAGTCTACTTTTTATATCTTGATCCAAATAAATAACGCTTTGGCACTGTTTTGGGGAAATGAATGACAGATTCAGTGCATAATTGAAATTCCTACAATTTGGCATAACATTATAATAATACCATCTTTGTCTTGTCATCTTTATGCCACTTTAAAAACAAGTTTTCAAAGTTCTTAACAGTAGAAATAACAGAGCAAAAGCAAAATGACTTTTGTATGAGGAGGAATGGTGAAATAATTCTCCAGTTAAAACAGTCAGAAACAAACACATATCAACACATGATTTTCTCAAATCGCCCTTAATGCTTATTATGTATCTACATACTAAATTATACCTCAGCCCATTGTTAAGGCAGTTTTACCTACATTTGTTTTTATTTTGTCATATAATCTTTGGTTTACATGAACGCCATCATGCATCATTTAACCTCTAATAGTGCTGTGTCATAAGCCATACGTAATGTAACCTCTTTAAGAAAATAATAAAGCATTTACAAAACTAATGTCACAAAACAAGCCAAAAGTGTTTCAATCTTAAGGTGACTTTGTTCAGATATATCCAAAGTCTTATAAACCTAATAAGAAAAATCCAAAATATGAAGAAAGAAAATCTCAACTGCTTAAATTTGAGTAAAACTGTCCTCAGCCTATTCAAAAGGTTGTTTTATTAAATCCTGAAATATTGTTTGAGGAGCTGCTACAATACCTCAAATGACTGCAACTTACAGTAATTGAATATTGCAGAATATCTATTGTTTTGTCTAGTTATCTTGTATTTTGATTCCTTTAGAATATTAACCATATTCTAAATGTTTGTATACATGTATCTACAATTATTATTGGGGAAGCAGATGGATTACTGCCACGCTTGTATTGTTATTCATTATTCATTCTTCTTCAATTTCTGTCATATTTGTTTTGTTTTACCATCTGCAGTTCAGCTTTCCCTCTTCTCTGTCTCCGCTGCCTGCTGCTCGTCTACATGTCTCCGTCAAATGTCTATCTTCTTTCCGTCAATATGTGTGCGTTTATTGGACGGCCTTCTCCCAGTTGGTCATTCATCTGAACCAGAGCACGTCTGTCTCCACGACGATCACTCTTAACTGTTGTTATGCCTCCTTGTCAGCATGCCTGTGTGTGTCAGTGTGTGTTTGTGTGTTTGTGTGTGTGTGTGTGTGTGTGTGTGTGTGTGTGTGTGTGTGTGTGTGTGTGTGTGTGTGTGTGTGTGTGTGTGTCCAGGACAGATGGATGATGTATTATGTAAAACAAAGTGATCCCAGTAATGGCCTGCTAAGCTGTCTCCCTCCTCACATCAACACACACACACACACACACACACACACACACACACACACACACACACACACACACACACACACACACACACACACACTCACACTGAGTCCCTAGGCAGCTTGTCTGTAACCGAACTCAGCAGTAACCACATCTATAACGGACCCGGGAGAGAGATGGAGGGAGTGTGAAAGAAAGGCGAACTAGGACAGAAGCGCAGAGAGAGGAGTGTGTGTGGGAGTGAGAGTGGAGGTGGTTCTCTTGTCTTAAGGTTACCCTCGGAAACCATTTATCTTTTTCCGGGGAGATGCAGAGAGGAAGGGAACGGCTGGTTGGATGCTGCTCACTGAGGAGGAGTATTTTAATATGCTGTCCTTCGTTTTAGTGCCCACACATGAAAGTATAAATAGCATGCACACGCACGTATGCATACATAGGCCTCTGGTAGGTGTGGGATGTTTGTGAGGAAGAGGAAGGGAGGAAAGTGGGTGGTGGG